ACAGCAGGAAGGGGGTGGAGGAATCAACTGATTGTCAAAAATTCATGGTTAAGTAGAAAAAAAAAAGAACAGTTTGGGCTGAGCCAGCCCTGGGAGAACCCCACGAACTGCTGCATAGATTGAGGTGATGAATGCAGGAAGAGGAACTCAATATATTAATCAAATACAAACCCACTGTACAAAAAGCTTCCTCTTTTTTTTTTCTTTCTCTGTTTTTTCTTTTTTTTTTCCTTTTTTATATATATATATGTATAAACCTGCTCACAAAAAATAGTGCAAAAAAAAAAAAAACCCCATCAGGTAACCAGCAAGGAGGGGACAGGCTGGGATTTGGAATGACAAAAAATAAACCTCAAAAGCTTTGGTTGAAGTAGGAGCAGGGCTGGGGCTGCCTTGAGGTGGTTGGGCTCAGGGAGTGCTGGCAGGGCAGGGGCAGGCAGCACCTCCTGCTCCACACCAGCAGCTTTTCCCTACTGGGCAGCAATTCCAGGAGAGGTTTTTTTTTGGGGCAGAGGAGGGGAGGGAGCAGGATGGAATGACAAAAAATAAACCTCAAAAGCTTTGGTTGAAGTAGGAGCAGGGCTGGGCCTGCCTTGAGGTGGTTGGGCTCAGGGAGTGCTGGCAGGGCAGGGGCAGGCAGCACCTCCTGCTCCACACCAGCAGCTTTTCCCTACTGGGCAGCAATTCCAGGAGAGGTTTTTTTTTGGGGCAGAGGAGGGGAGGGAGCAGGAGGGTTGTTGCACAGTCAGTGCTACGGGGGAAGAGGCAAAAGCAGGAGGTGTTAATGCAGCAGGAGGAATTTGAGGAGGAGGGGAAGCGGGGGACCCTCTGCTGTGCTCTGCCTGGGGCTAGAACTTCCCAGCTGAGGGGAGCCCAGGGGGGGTGCGAGTGGCTCCGAATCCCTCCAGGCACGTAGGGTTTGTGCAAGTGCTGTGTTTGATTCCAGTAAGAAGTACCAACAGGGCTCGGGCAGCAGGGAGGGAGGAGGGAGCTCCCGAGCCTCCACCAGCCCCTTAGGTGAGGCGGATCCCCAGGACTTGTTCCAGTTCCTGTCGACGCTGCTGGACCTGGAGGATGAAAAGTAAAGGGGAGAGGGGGTGTCAGGGCCCATGGACCACCCCCCACTGCCATCCCCACCCCCCCAGGGAGCTCACCTTGGCGAAGATGTGTCTGCCCACAGCTTCCTGCGCCCAGGGCTGCTGGTAGAACTCAGCTCTCCGCTCCTCCTCAGGGTTCCCGATCACGTCCGTTATGATCTGAGCAAAATACACGGTAGGGGGACACACAGGGTGAGCATGAGGGATGGACCCCTGCCCCCCACCAGTCCCTCACCCTGTCCCTCCCAGGGGTTTTCACCTTGAGGTCCCTTCTCTGGGATTTGATCCATTCCTGGATGAAATCCTGTGGGTTGTTGCTGAAGCTCAGCATGAAATCGCGTTGCGTCTTCAGCTGGTTGATGGATTCGATGGTCTCGTGGATCTAGAGAGATGAGAAGGGACGAGAATCAGCTGCCACCACTCACCTAGTGCAGTTACAGCCTCACAGACTGGTTTGGGTTGGAAGG